CCGGTGTCGGAATCAATGTTGAAGTCCTCTTCGGAACCTGAGCTATCGGAAGTCATTCCAACTCCTGAATGCTTATCAACACCAAGTTTAAAAGATATTAAGTCATGGATAAAGTTCATGCTTTTGATGATAGTTGCCTCTCTTTTAACATCGGTTTCGCGGTCAAAGAAAGTTGTATCGAGTTTGTTGATGTTGATGTAAAGACTACCAGTTGGGGGAGATTGTGCTGCTACAATCACCTTGGCCTGTGGAAGGGTAAAATATTATAATTGAGCTCACTTCACTTGTTAGATATCTGTATCAAATACTCAAGTGTACCTTTTTCAAGACCCAATCATTCCATTTCTGTCGACATTGAGGCTTTTCATTAACTAGGTCGTCAATCGCATCAAGAACTTCTTCGGTGGTTTTCCATCCCTTCTTCACGGAACCCCACTGTTTCTTACGCCTGACGATCAATTGGTCAGAGGATCGTAGGTAAGCCAGGAGAAATTTCTTGGTGTTGGTTTTGTGTGTTGACATATACCGACAAATCCTTTCGACAAGATCGGGTGTTCCTTCAGGGGTTGGTGCTGATAAACCTTCCAGTGTAGGATCCAGGTGAAAGCTAGTGTCTGATCCTTTGGAACTGCTGTTCATTTCAAATGTTGTCTGAGTACAACTGAGGAATAAGGTGTGAGGAATTCAAAGAAAAGGAAATTGTGTCCGAAATAACAGAAATAATGTATGGGTCAGGAGAGAGAGTCCAAAACTTGATTTAACATATATACAGATGCACATGTACTGTTCTCGCAGCAAAAAAATAAAAAAATAAAAATAAAATCACGATTTTAATGATTTTTGAGGTCCTTTGGACTTTTTGATTTGAAACCTCTTGAGAGGAATCTGAAGAGGCCAAAAGATGGGCAAGACTTTGTTCTATAGTCTGCCCGGATGAAAGTGAGGAGTCATTTTGTGTGACACAGTGAAAATGAGGATTGGAGATGGCCCCTGCCAAATCCAAATCTACTCAGGCTGAAACAACTCGATAAGTCGTAAGTCCCTCCTCCGCAGGCTCCGAAGGACGCCTGCGAGGAGGAGGGACTTAGTTAAGTTAGCCCCTCCGCAGGCTCCGGGGGACGTCTCTGCGGGGGTTAGGGGCTTGTGTTAAGCTAGGTCTCATAGCATTTCATTGTGCACAATCTTTGGGTGATCAAGTGAAGCAACAGAGATATGCTTCCCTGGAGCTGACCACGTAACTCCCAGCATGACACCTACATAGTCATCGCAAGCTCGGGTGTCTCAGTTAGCTTGTGCCTTTTTCCTTGTACAACGTGATTTGGATTCCTGTGAATCTGCACTTTGACTCTCATCGCCTGTCAAGTCATTCAAGATAAAACGAAGAAAATGGAGAACATCACAACAGATCAGCCAATAGCCAAACCGATCATTGCTCGTTTGCCTTTCGAAATCCTCTCACATATCTTAGAGTCGTTCGCTTCCGAATTGAACACCTGTTCGCATATATCAGACCTAGCTTATCCTAATGCTCATTTGAAAAAAAGTCAATATCTCAACTCAACAATTTACGATTAGTTTGTAAAGAGTGGGCAGAATTTCTAATACCGATTTGTTTTCGGAATCTTGTCTTACGGGATGAGATTGATGCGCAATCTATCATTGATAATTGGTCATACTCAGTTTACGCTCCAATTCTTGCTTGCTCGGTCAGATCTCTTCATGTCGAGTTAATTTATCCGAAGCCGGAAGAAACCTCAAATAGCGAAGATGGTAAAGTACCTTCAAATCATTCATCTTGATCAATTTGAATATCCATAGCTGAATGAAATATTTGATAATATAGGGATACTGGACTTCACCGTTGTATCGATGGAGCAGGTGACACAATTGATCGACTTACTTGGTCAAGATATATTTGAGTTGGATTTAAATTTTACATATCTCTCTGGGGTTTCTCAATCGTTATTAACATCTATCAGTCACATCAAAGGTTTAAAGAAATTAAGCATCAAACAAAAATCTCAAACATTTTCACCTGAAAGTTGTAATATCAGATCACTTTCTAATTTATTACTTGCTTGTCCAAATCTCGAACATTTAACCATGGATTTTAGAAATCCGATTCCATTATGTTTAAAACCTCAAGCCTTACCAAATTTGAATACTTTTATTTTTCTATTACAAAAGAAAATATTCAATGTATGGCCAATATATGTGAAACAACTAAAAAAACTTTAAAAGTGATTGCTTATTTACTTCTTACTGAACCTGACGAAGGAGCCGAGGTGATCTTTGACCGATCCAGGACAGACTTGAAGGTATATTGCT